CACAAATCGAGTGTCAACAAAATACATGGCATGTTGAGATATTGAGGTCGTGAGAGCAAATTTTCGCTCTCAAATTTGAATTTTTTGGCTCTCTGGGAACTGGTAGTAAAACAGGTAAAACTGTATCGGGAAAAATCATTTTTAGTTAATTGTAGCTTGTTTAACAATAATTTCCGGGAAAAACTGAACGACGAAGTCCCTGATTAATTTTTTTAGGTTGTCGTTCACTTTTTTTGACCTGAATATGCACCGAACGCGAATTATTCCCACTTATCTCAATTTCTATATGGGGATTTTTATCACTTCCTACCAGCGAAACAGCGCCATATCTGTGGAAAATGGTCGAACAAAATGATTAATTGAAGGGGCTTAAAATTTGCATCAAAAAGCATAAAAGTAGGCACCATCCGGTAAGCTCAGATTCTGTGATTGATGTGTTTTCCCTAATACATTTTTCATTTCCGCACCGCTATAATCTCCAAGAACATCGAGGAAAAATTTTCACAACATTGTTCTAAACTGTCTTCGAAGCTTCCAACCCATCGGTCCTTTTCAGGACCACAAATGACTGATAAAAGTGTTAACTAAAGAGTAAGAGCTTGCATCCAATACGTATCGCCCAGGATTGGCTTGTACTACATAAACATCGACAGAGCACCTCAAAAACAGAACTCTCAAATTATTTCCGAATTTCACACCCATATTATTGTTTTCGTTCGAACCGTATTTTCCATACAAAACAAAAGTTTTTGGTATGGAAAATACGGTTCGAACGAAAACAAGAATATGGGTGTCAACCTATCGAACTCTTTCACTGATAATGAGTTAAGAAATCAATTTAATATTTACTATACTTTTACTCTGACACCAAAACTACCTTTCGTAATCCTACGTCAAATCTACGGTCGTGTCTTGGATACAACCTCTTACTTTTTGTTCTATCAATCTCACGATCTGAACCTAAACTCAACTCGAGGTTGAAAAATAAGTGCAAATTGAAAAAAAAAATGCAGGTTAGAATGGAACCGTGATCTTACTTGTTCAATTCAATTTTTCGAAGCATGAAAAATGTTCATTACAGGGCTGGAAAGCGCCTCAGAACGAGAATCTTTTTACATGCATAGCACAGCACTGGACAAACGGAGTGTCGTTCTCCCATTTTGCACACTGTTTTCCAACTTATCTTCGAGCAAGCAATCCGCACAAAGAGCAGTAGAAAAATCACACTCTGTGCGGTGGAGAGAGCTAATGAAATACAAAAGGCAACTAATGTCTTCTTTGTCGTATTTGATTACTACAATAGCATGTAAAGGGTGATACGGTCAAAATTTGGTCAAGGGAAAACGCGTGTAAATCGGTGAAATCGTTTATTTAAAAAATCAAATTAAATTTCTTTTTCAAGTTCAATTAGTATAAAATTCAGGAAAAATATTCAGTTAGGCTTCCGCTTTTCCAAATCCGAATTGCCGGGCCTTACGCTTGACCCCTGCCATCAGATTTTGTACAGCCACCTTGTCCACCTTCTTCGCCGCAGAAAGCCAGTTTGCCTTGAACTGCTGCTCGCCCTTAGCAGTTTTTTTTGGTCTTCTTTAGGTTCCGCTTGACAATAGCCCAGTATTTCTCAATTGGGCGGAGCTCTGGCGTGTTGGGAGGGTTCTTGTCCTTGGGAACCACCTGCACGTTGTTGGCGGCGTACCACTCCATGGCCTTTTTACCGTAATGGCAAGATGCCAAATCCGGCCAAAACAGTACGGAACAACCGTGTTTCTTCAGGAAAGGCAGCAGACGTTTATTCAAACACTCTTTCACGTAAATTTCTTGGTTGACAGTCCCAGAAGCTATGAAAATGCTGCTTTTCAAGCCACAGGTACAGATGGCTTGCCAAACCAGATATTTCTTTGCGAACTTTGACAGTTTCATGTGCTTGAAAACATCTGCTACCTTTCCCCTTCCTTTTGCCGTATAAAACTCCTGTCCCGGAAGCTGCTTGTAGTCGGCTTTGACGTAGGTTTCGTCGTCCATTACCACGCAGTCAAACTTCGTCAGCATCGTCGTGTACAGCCTCCGGGATCGCGCTTTGGCCGTCGTATTTTGTTTATCATCGCGATTTGGAGTCACTACCTTCTTGTAAGTCGATAGTCCGGCTCGTTTTTTGGCTCGATGCACGGTTGTAGACGATACACCCAGCTTATTTGCGGCATCTCGGAGAGAGAGGTTAGGGTTTCGCTTGAAACTACCGGCAACTCTTTTTGTCGTCTCAGCGGCTTCCGGTTTTCGATTTCCCCCCGATCCAGACTTCCTGGCTGTCGACAAACGTTCCCCAAACACTTTAATTACATTTGTAACGGCTTTTAGCGATTTTGCCAACTTTGCGTGCGAGTAGCTCGGATTTTCGCGATGCGCGAGCAAAATTTTGATACGCTGCTCTTCTTGCTTGGACGGCATTTTGACAACTGAAGAGTGAATTCCAAAATCAAAATAGGAGCAACATTCTACACACACACACCTTCAAAATGAGGGGTGTTCAGGTTTTTTAAATGCAAAATTGAAAGAAATACGTCAAGTTGATATTGACCAAATTTTGACCGTATCACCCTTTATAGGAGGAGATCAGTGTTGGCATAATCATCAATCAAATGATATTTTTTCGCTCTCATACGCTCTTAATATCACGAGGGATGTTGGAACAAAATATCATGCTTGATATTGATTTTACAAGCTCCTTTGATATTGCGAGACTATTCACAACTTGCAAAAATCAAGCGGAGAGTTGACTTTAAGTGGACCCTACACGTTTGCTTTTATGTATTGACAATGGTATTGTCAATACATTCTATATTGACGTCATTGACAATAATTCTGTATTCCCATCATCAATATTATTGTCAATAATTCCCCTTCGCATCAATATACTGATACGTGTGGGGTTCGCTTTAGACACACAAATCATTCCGTTGCATATCGTTTTCTTAGAAAGAGAAAGTATAGTTTGCTATCTCTTTTTACTGTTCACCGACGGCAGACACGAAGTGACTGCTGCCAGCCGTTATAGAAGTTTCGGTTGCTTTCGGGTGTAAAGCAACTCAATCTCACCACAGTTTGTTGAGATTTGCAGCTGGTGAGTTTCGTTAGCTTGATATTCCGAGCTACGATATCACAGCTTGCAAAATCAACCGCAGCTGTATGCTTGTTGATTTTTGTCTACGAAAATCTAGCGTGGTCTTGGGCATTGGTGAGATTTGATTTTTTGATATTTTCCCAACACTGCAGGAGACAAAGAAGCGGATGACCATGAAGAACTTTGACTTTCTGCAGGGTTTCTCATTTGTAATCCTACACTTGCGCTCTTTGTTCCGATGCGGTGGCTTCACTTTGAGCGTTTTCGTTATTTGTCTTGGGGTGTCTTTCTTCTCTTCTCCGCTGATACGCACTTACGCAGTGAGTAAGCTCCTCGAGATCGTCAAGTTGACGATGACAGGAGCACATACAGCGGTAGAGGTAACAACAGCTGCAATTTTAAATCCCCATTAGACTAGATGCTTACGTCACATGATGACTTGAGTGTGAAACAATCGATAGAACTGTTTCCGCACATCGAAGGTACGTGAGCAAATCGGCGATCATCTCTTTTGCCAGTGGTGGCGGGGAAAGATACCCCTCACCATACCTCGCCAATAGGGGAGTTTGGTAAAGGACATGATTAACTCGATTCGTGCCTTCCTCAAAATTGACCTTTGCTCGCTTTCACTTATACTTATTCACTTTCGCTATATACAATTTTCACACTGCCGTACTCTAACTGAACTATCAACTCTATACTTTCATCTCCTCATCTATCGTATAAAATAAACACTTTAAGTCGGATATTTGTCGTTAAGCATCTTCAACTAAGCATATTTAGTTTACACACATTATAATTTAGAAACCCCCAAGTTATGTACCAATTGATACCATTGAATTGAAGTTTTGAGTATTCTGAGCAATAAGTCGATGTGAAATAAGATAGTACCAGTTTTGGCATAAGTTGTTCATTTATTGGCCGTAGGTGTGCTCTAGTTTTTGGCCGCAGTAATTTTTTTCAACGGAGCATTCTTCCATTGCTAATATATGCAATGAAATAATGCTCACGTGGGCCAGTATTTGGAGCTAGTTTTAAAAACTAGCTCATCTACCCAACAATATTTCGAAAAAAACGGCCGAATTTTAGCAAAAATGTGAATGATTGTCCATAACAAACAATTATGCATAGTTTCCTACAAATCAGAGAAGGTCTAGTTTTTTTTCGATTCGTCATTTGGCGTGGAACTGCTCATATGCGATTACTTTGCTTGATGGGACAAACTAAAGAGGATCTAGTATAAGAGAGGAGGGGATTCAAAACAAACTGCCTCGGCAACCTATGCCTGGAAGGTTTCTAGCAACACTGCCAATGCAATCAAGATAGGGCCTGCTCGATTGGCTTTGGCTTTGACAGTTCTTTGGCTAAAAACCAATTGGTCCGCTTTTCTCTTACTAGACCCTCTCTAGGACAATCTAACTTCATGTTGTTTTCGAATTTTTCATGATTAAAATCCGTAGTTTTATCATATGATATGAACCCAAGTTACAATTATGGCTTTATGAGAGCTCTGTAGACTATGGTTTAGACTTGTAGAATACTTTTAAACCTCGATAAAACTAACAATGTTACTTGGGAAAGCAGATGCCAATATATAGTGGATAATGGAAAATCCAGATGCGATTATAGGCAGTACCGTACTCCCCTAATTTATCATAACCAGGGTCATATAGAGCAACTCAACGAGAAAACTAATGGGAGTCGGCATTTCCATCAAATGGATGTGCTTGTGGAAAAAAAACATGATAATAATATTGTCGTATTAGAATATTGAGGTCCGTTATAAATTGCATAAAACAAAATTCATTCCTACATTCCCAAAAATACCTTCGCCAAGATATCATATTAATCATTATATTTCCTTCTCTTGACCCTCTTGCAGATCGCTCTCCGTGGTATCCGAGCAAGGATATCGATTGTTTTCACTGTCATCCGTCGATCGTGTGGACGAAATCTTCTGTAGCCATGACGAGGATACACGAATCGCTGAGCGGTTGTTCAGCAGCAGCCTGGTCGCGGTCGTTACCGCAAGTGAGCCGCACAAACTTAAGGTATTATTTGTGGGTGTGTGTGTGTGTTCCCAATTCCGATTCTACTACTTCCCTATCCCCCGTTCCCATTCCAGGTGTGTCACTTTAAGAAAGGGACGGAGATCTGCAACTACAGCTACCCGAAGGATATCATGTCGGTGAAACTGAACCGATCGAGGCTAGTAGTATGCCTGGAGGACAGTATTTATATTCATAACATCCGTGATATGAGACTGCTACATTCCATCAAGAACATGTCGAACAACCCGGTCGGCCTGTGTACGCTGTCGCTCTCGTCGCACCTGGCGTACCCGATCTCGTCGGCGACCGGCGAGCTGCAGATCTTCGACGCCGGCAATCTGACGTCCCGGCTGAAGATCAAGGCGCACGATTCGCAACTGTCGGCGATGAACTTCTCCTTCAACGGGACGCTGCTGGCTACGGCGTCCGAGAAGGGCACCGTGATTCGCGTGTTCTGCGTGAAGAACGGCCAGAAAGTGCACGAGTTCCGACGAGGTCTCAAGCGCCACGTTAGCATCGGATCGCTGAATTTCAGCATCTGTGCGAGCTACGTTGTCGCTAGTTCGAACACGGAAACCGTACATATCTTCAGAATCGATCCGAAGTCAATCGAACAGGCGGAACGTCGCAACTGTATCGACAACGGATCTTCGACTACTACCAACACTAGTAGCAGCAGCAATAATAATAACGACGGAGAGTCGCAGAATGGAAGCGACGGGGAGAAGGCGGTGGCGGATGACGCTTCGAACGGTGGATGGGGCATGGGCTTCATCGCTAAAGCCGTCACGGCGTACTTCCCGACCAATGTGGTGGCGGATGTGTTTTCGCAGGATCGAGCCTATGCTACAGTTCAGCTGGCCGAAGCGGGACTCCGCTACGAGTGTGTCATCGCCAAGGTGGAGAAGGAGACGCGCCTGCTGTTGGCGTGCGAGGACGGGTTCCTCTACTTGTACGATTTTGACGATTCGAAGGGCGGAGAGTGCAAGCTGATCCGGGCGCACGATCTGCGTATGCCACTGCATGGAATTACAGGTTAGTACATCTCAAAAGCAGCAGAAATTCTGCTCAGTGCAACTCATCTATTTTTTTTTAAATCTCTCGATTTTCCTCATTCGAAAAGAAAGTCCTAGATAATCAATTGAAATATTATTCAGTACTTAGTAACTTATATTTTTGCGAATTTGAGTGAACGAATTTCCAATTTGAGTTGGTGCAATCGGCCGTGCATTCCACTCAAAGTTCTTTTGAAATTATTGCGATTTTTCCCATTATAATTTCCGTCCTACTTAGCACAACCCGCGCTTTACCTCTCTTTTCTGAACGAGTTAAACAAAAAATGTAATGTGTCTGTCAAAGATGACTTCTAAATTTATTCTCCTTTTCATACGTACCTTTGGATTTGATAAAGAGTCACAAATTGTAGAGAGATTGTTTAAAATCTAATAGTGCTTCTTGATTCTAAATTCGTTCTACGAGCTTCAATTCCGCATTGAAACACCATTAGATTTTCTTCGTCCTGCGGAAAACGTAGAAAAAGGGAATTCGCTACCCAAATAACATTGCAAGTTTTATCACGGTTTTAAAGCATGCTACAAGTCTAATTCATAGTCTACAGAACCTCCCTAAAACCCTAATTGTTACTTGGGTAGGAGCGCTTCTTTTGTTTTGAAAACAATGAGCGTAAATATTCATACAATGCGCTCTAACAGGATTTATGTTGTAGCTAATGAACTAACGGATCGGAACAAACATGTTATTGATCACGTTGTACATCAGACATGTTACATTGGACGATTTTTCTCAATGAAATAATCAATTAGTGTTTTGTTCTACATGATACTACATTCCCTTTCACAGATTTCAGAGTAGAGTACCTAACTTTAGATTGGGCCCGCTTTTAGAAAATGAGCACCAATCATGTTAGGCAGTCCAAATGACCGAAGTAAAAATCATGTACCCATCATCAAACTTTACATTGGACAATTTTTGACCAATGATTATCTTAAATAAATGAAAGTAAATTTGGATGGGTGTTTTTGTATCACATACAATGATAGAAGAGCAAAATAGTTTGTATCGGTTAACTCGATTTGTTTACATTTTTTTTACTTACCACCTTCTGAAAAGTGACGCGAAACTTGTTCTGGTGTTTACTTTTGGCATCTTTGTTCTACACTGAACGAAAACATCCGCAATACTTGATTATTGCATTGCTCGAACTCTTTAACAATACGCTTTCAAATTTCGGATGATTGCCTTATGGTTAAATTCATCATCATATGATGATATTTATTTGAAAATTGGCTGTGAATCATATAGCGTTCAGAGGACAATAATTTAAGAATAGGATGACTTGCAAATGGTTTAAATAAGATTTATAATCCGATTGCTTACATTTCCATATTGAATAGCCATGAACAGTTATTGGTTTGTTTTGTTAGAGGAGACTTCCTCCACCATGAATAGACAATATTGGGTCACCACGCTTTACCAATGTTCATATCACCTCGGTTGTCAGCTCAGACCAGCAAATGACGTTCGAGCGAATTAATTACATCAAAATTTTGAATTATTTGCGTTATGGGGTTGAACCAATACCATATGGATTTCAATTTGGGATGACAATCATTCTACAGAAAGCATTACGTATTTCCTGTATTCGAGAGGAGCATCATCTGATTTCAAAACAACCTTCATCTGGTTGCTGCTATCATTCAAAAAAGCGATTTCTTTGTTTCGAGTTGAGTTGTCTGAGGTTTCATTAGAACAGTGGATGATGTTTTGGTACAGTGTATTGCTTCCAGCATGTTCACATTAAAGCCCTCTAGTTAAAGTATGGACGACTGTCACCACAAAACTGAAAAAAAGCTGTTCAATCGAGTAAAGCGGTGCATTTTGACAGTTCGATTACAACAACTTTTAACAGACGTCCATACTTTTACCAACAATCAATACGAAACTAATGATGCCTATTGGTCCCAAGCAAATCGATTAACGTACCTCATTCTAGTATAAATTCCAGTACTACACTATGTTTGTTTTGATTCGATATGAAAGTTTGACAGATAAAATAAGGGGTTCGTGGATTTTCATATGTTTCGAGGGGTGCATCGATTTGCTTGGGACCGAAGATAGTACCAGAGCTGAGCCAAAAAGTTGAGCTCGTTTCTTCGGGACCTTCTGGTCTTAGAGTTACCTCTGTGGTACCATTGTGCTTGCCACTGCCACATAATATACAAATTCATGCGTTTGGTATTGGCATCGAAAGCTCTCAATTAATAACCGTGGAAGTGCATTTAGAACACTAAGTTGAGAGCAGGCAATAAGCATGAAATGCAAATAAGAAGAAGAAGAATTAGCTAGGATTCCAATCGCCCTTGAAAGGGTAAATTTGTATTTTTAAACCTTATCCATGCCCTCTCAGATCTGGTGTTTCTCGGTTATTTTGTAAATTTCGAGGTAAATTGCATTTCTTCTACTCGGATCTGAAGAGGCTTACAAGATAAGAATGACGAGCATTTGTAACATTTAATTATGAAATCATATCCCTCCTTAAGCGAACCCCACACGTATCAATTTATTGACGCGAAGGCGAATTATTGACAATAATATTGATGGTGTGAACTCGGGTGTGAATAGAAATATCACAGACAAACAGACATAACACATTGAATATTTCTCACTGTAAAACATCGTCGCTGAAACATTACCGCCATCTGTTGAGTACACTGTGGTGGGCACTACGATGAACAGATGGCGATAGTGTGTAAACGTCAAAAGCAAGGGAATTGACTATGTGCGCCACAGGTGGTGGTACCATAGAGGTAACTCTAAGACCACTGGGTCCCGAAGAAAATCATTATTATTTTTGGCTCACTCAGTACCAGAACAACGGTCCCAAGCAGTCCCAAGCTATTTCACTCACCCCTGCATGTTCTGCATGAATCCACACACCCCTGATGTTATCTGTCAAACTTTCATAGCGAATCAAAACAAATATAGTGTAGTAATAGAATTTCAACTAGAATAGGGTACGTTAATCGTTTGCTTGGGACCAATAGGCTACTAAAGTGGTGAGCCAATTTAAAATCGTTAGTTTCGTATTGATTGTTGGTTGTACTGCGTTGAGCGAAGGTGGAAGCAAAGCATAGAAAAATTAGCAAATACACACACCTTTCTTCTGGGGTTGGAACCTTTTCTATCAAATTCGTTCGGAGTAGATGAGCAGCAGATGTCGCAATTCTGCCTGTCTCATAGCCGGCGTATTAGAAAACGGGAGGGTTGCCAGTCTTCTTGATATGTTGTGTTCGATATAATCCTAGTATAAGCAACAATCAATACGAAACTAACGATTTTAAATTGGCTCACTACTTGACTAGCCTATTGGTCCCAAGCAAACGATTAACGTACCCCATTCTTCTTCTTCTTCTTCGTTCCTTTATTTAACGTCGGTCTCTGTTCCGCAATCTAGTGCCAATCACCGACGGACATCGATTGCCATCCATTGTGCAGGAAGGCAGCTTCCACACCTGCGTAGGATATCGCACCCATTCAAACACACATGGGCCGGGACCAACGGCTTTACTTCCCTTTCCGAAGGAAGACGTGACCAAAGATTTTTATGCCTCAGAAAAATCCCACCGACCTCGGCTGGGATTGAACCCAGACCCATTGGGGTGTTAGAAAGCAGTCACGCTTACCACTACACCACCGGCGCCGGCTACCCCATTCTAGTCGAAATTCTAGTACTACGCAATGTTTGTTTTGATTCGCTATGAAAGTTTGACAGATAAAATGAGGGGTTATTGGTTTTTCCTATGTTTCGAGGGGTGAATCGATTGGCTTGGGACCGAAGAGAGTACCAGAGCTGAGCCAAAAAGTTGAGCACGTTATTTCGGGACCTTCTTGTCCTAGAGTTACCTCTATATGGTATAAGCACCGACAAACCGACATGAAGGACCATAGCAAAAACAATAAAATTTCTGACCAAAGCACACTACTGACATCTGGCTCCGTGTTCGCGGGAAATATTTAGCTAAGCCATGAACCAGCATGCAAAAGTTATGAATTGGTTCGTGTCTGATCCATTCTTGATAAATTATTTTTATCTAGATCAAAAAATCCTATGGTTTTGACAGTTCGGATCACTGCACGTTTAAATCGGCTGTTTACGATTTTCGGGCATAAGTCAGAATTAAGTGTCATGTCGGTTTGTCGGTGGTATAAGTATCAGTTGAATATGTAAATTTGACGTTACATTCTGTTTTTCCTTCTCCACAGAAGTTGACATCGGTGGCAACGAGAACGACACCTCCGTCCTGAATGTGACGATGACTAACTCGATGATACCGGCGCCGGGCACCTACGCCGGGGTCCTCAAGGGACGCCCCGGAGACCGAATGTCAGGTGAGCTCACCCACAGAAATATACTTTTAAACACACTAACCCCCCTCCAGCAAACTAGCCAATGGAACTAATCTAAGCCTCTCGTCCTATCGTCTCGTTCTTGCTATATTTCTCTATCGTCCACGTCGTGTTGTGTCGTCCTCGTCCCGTCGCGTCGTGTTGTGTCCACATGCTATTACCCGCCTCCTTCCTTGGTCATATTCCAGCAGATTCGGATCGCTGCCGTGATTTGCGCGAAGCAGTCGAGTACCCGATCAAGAACACCATCCCGCTGTTCGACGACATGCAGTTCCCGCCGGTTACCCCCATCACCGTCGAATGACTATCCGGCGACGTCCGGACGCCGAAGATCAGCTCCATTGGTGGCGGTGGCAAGAAGCGTCACGCCAAGTAGGTGGGCTGAGTGGGCGGAGCAGTACCCAATATAACACATACATACGAGGAACAACCACACAGCTTCGTGTTTCGAGTTTTTTCATTTCTACGTTTCTGAATGTACAGCTCTGAAGATGTGTATCTCTCTGTTATTGCTTTTAAATATGATCATAAAGGTTTTTTTTTCGTCTGTTAAGGTAATGTTTATGTCTAGTAACTGTAAGTCCCATATTTTCTGACTATTTTGATAAGCAAGAATTCTATTGGCATTTGAGTAATAATGTGAGTGTGACTTGCCTATATGATTTAAGCAGTCATTCGTTGTTTTCGAAATTTGTAAGAAAAAAATATTTACAAAAATTGTGACAAAAAATCTCATGTCTCTGTTGCTAAAACTATGAAACAGGTCGTAGCGTTAAAACAAGCAATAGTATTGACGGCAAGTCAGGTAAAATTAATTTAGAGTGTAAACGCCATCACCCTTCATACAGTTTTATGACATTTTCCATAGAATTTCATCGAAGCTTCTTATCCTTATTTTCTAAATACAAAAAAAAAACAAACTTATAACTACTTATTAACATCATCGGAATGGCAGAAAAGCGAACATGAAGTGAGTAAAGAACCGAGAAAAAACGCTTTCAGCTACTGCCATAAGACGATAAGTACTAGTACTAGTAGTGAATTGCGAAAAACCTGAAAAAATGATACCAAAAACAGTATAAAAAATCGTCGTGTAAAAATCTACAAAAAATACTCAAGCTGTTAAGTTAATTTTAAGTTTCCCACAACAACGTTGTAAAGTATACAGAGAGATGATAAAAAAATATATTTTCTTATTTATTATTTTAGAGCAAGTTGTAAATATCTGGAAAACAAACAGTTTCCCTTCGTTCTTCATTTTCTGCTTCGACTTTTTTTTTCGACACCAATTATACACATACTGATCAAAGCACAAGTGTATTCTTTTTTTTTATTGAGCGGTAAAAACTTGAACTAAACGAGTCAAAAAACGTAAAAATATTTGAGAAAAAAAAAGTACCTAAAAATGAGCATGAACAAGAACGCAAATATGGTTAACGACTCCCCCTGCTGATGAAAGAATACATATACAAAAAATAGACTACTAACGAAGGCAACACATCACAAAGACTGTCAACTTTCCTAAAGGGTGACGTCATCGACCGCTCGAAGGTAAATGCTCGGGTAAATGCACCGATCGAATTTGATAGCAAAGATTATAAGCATTGCAGGTAATGTTGCCAGTCTGCTTGATATGACGTCTTCGCTGCTAATCAAATGCGTGTTTTTCTGCACACTACCGTACTATTCAATGGAACAAGTTAAATGATCAAGATACAGATGCACTTAAACGCGCAAAACCTTATACCGAACCACCTGCCATCTGTGTGTCATAACTGCAACCAATCGTGACTATTTGAATGTGAAACACATAGATGGCAGCACCTAATTGGTACGATATTGGATTTGCGTTGCGATTAAGTGCAATTTACCATCACACTGCGCTGGTGTTAGTAGTTGGGAGAAAACTTATTTTAACCCACGCACACACACACACACCGACAAGAAAATAGTAGAATTTGAAATAGAACGATATCAGTAGCTCCAATCATTGTTCTCTTTCTTCTGCCATGCAATTAATAATGCTGCTAACTAACCATAACAAAGTGACACTACTTAAACTCTGCGAGAATACAAAAAAACAACAACAAACAAACGGAAAAGAAAGCCCACAAACTGCAAAAGAAACAATGTTAAACTTCTTCAGAAAATAAAACCACACACCTACACAGACAGACACACACAATCAATCAGCTAACGCGCTATGTGAGCCTCAGAAAAAGCAGTACCCGCGCGAGCACGATGAACCAAACAACTCTTTTTTTTCTTCTTCTTTCTAATTAAGCAGTCGCGATAATATTAGTTCGCAATCAAGCAAAAGCAGCAAAACCCTTAAACTGGTTATCGATGTTATCGCCTCGCCTCGTGGTACATTTGTGATACGCTCGGATCAGTTTTCCGAGGACTATGGAGAGAGGAAAATCGGCGATTGTGATGGAAGTTCCCATTCTTCTCATCCTCCTCCCCTCCCCCTCCCACCCAAAAAAAAAACAGCCGGACGAGTTTGGACGAACGACGTTTGTAGCTTAGTACTGAATAATGGGACAGGATCATTTGAACGGAAATAAAAGAAAACAAAAAATATTACCTAGATCTATAATAAACGAAACAAACAAGCAAAACGTTTCAACGTGTAGCAAATGATGAATATGTATTTTTCAGAGTTTCCATATGAGAAAAAAAAACTATTGATTGAAAAAAGGTAAAAATAAAATTCGTATACCTGATGACCAGCAACAAAAAAAAAACCGTAACTTCTGCTGTGTCTGATTTGTTCGGCGGCGCAAAGCTGACGATCTTGATCCGAAAATCCTTCTATGAGTAAACACTTTCCCAGATATTATCGGTTGCTCGCGTGGTTCAACCCAACCATAGAGGTAACTCTAAGACTAGTAGCAACAATCAATATGAAACTAACGATTTTAAATTGGCTCACCACTTTAGTAGCCTATTGGTCCCAAGCAAACGATTAACGTACCCTATTCTAGTCGAAATTCTAGTACTACGCAATGTTTGTTTTTACATTCGCTATGAAAGTTTGACAGATAAAATGAGGGGTTATTGGTTTTTCCTATGTTTCGTGAGGTGATTCGACAAGCTTGGGACCGAAGATAGTACCAGAGGTGAGCCAAAAAGTTGAGCACGTTTCTTCGGGACCTACTTGTCTTAGAGTTACCTCTATGCTAGTAGGTCCCGAAGAAACGAGCTCAACTTTTTGGCTCAGCTCTGGTACTATCTTCGGTCCCAAGCTAATCGATGCACCCCTCGAAACTTAGGAAAATCCATGAACCCCTCATTTTGTCTGTCAAACTTTCAAAGCGAATCAAAACAAACATGGTGTAGTACTAGAATTTCGACTAGAATGGGATAAGTTAATCGATTTGCTTGGGACCAATAGGCTAGTCAAGTAGTGAGCCAATTTCAAATCGATAATTTCGTATTGATTGTTGGTTCAACTGCAGTACTGAATTCTGCTTTTTACGCTAGCCTACTTTAAATATTGAATCACCCCCATTTGACATTAGACGCTTGCCGTTATTGGCGTTGACGGCACCGTCGATAAATTTGCTCTTCCAGCAAATATAGACAGTTTCTTATGGGAATTTTCGGTGGAGTGAAAGGATAGTACAAAGTCCGCCATGTTTCACGCACAGTCTGACGTTTGCTTATGGATTTTCTCATTGGAGTAAAGAGCTACAGAGTCGCCGTCAACGCCAATAGCACCTTTATTAAAGCCCTACAGTAAAAGCAACAATCAATACGAAACTAACGATTTTAAATTGACTCACTACTTGACTAGCCTATTGGTCTCAAGCAAATCGATTAACGTACCCCATTCTAGTCAAAAATCTAGTACTACACAATGTTTGTTTTGATTCGCTATGAAAGTTTGACAGATAACTTGAGGGGTTAGTAAATTTTCCTATGTTTCGAGGGGTGAATCGATTGGCTTGGGACCGAAGATTGTACCAGAGCTGAGCCAAAAAGTTGAGAACGTTATTTCGGGACCTTCTAGTCTTAGAGTTACCGCTATGGTGTAAGTGACTTTGATCGATTCTCTTCATCGACTTTCTCTTTCGTTAATAATTCAGCTGTAAACACATTCCTTGATTCTTGTACCATTCTGGATGCTAGATGAGAACCTCCTTTATCAAACTATGTGGCAGAAATAGCGCAAAATCTGTTTATAAAGCTGTAGCTATCAAAAGAGAAAGTCGATGAAGAGAATCGATCAAAGTCACTTACACCAACAATCAATACGAAACTAACGATTTTAAATTGGCTCACCACTTTAGTAGCCTATTGGTCCCAAGCAAACGATTAACGTACCCTATTCTAGTTGAAATTCTATTACTACACTATGTTTGTTTTGATTCGCTATGAAAGTTTGACAGATAACATAAGGGGTGTGTCGATTCATGCAGAACATGCAGGGGTGAGTGAAATAGCTTGGGACTGCTTGGGACCGTTGTTCTGGTACTGAGTGAGCCAAAAATAATAATGATTTTCTTCGGGACCCAGTGGTCTTAGAGTTACCTCTATGCTTACACCCCTTTCCTTCTAAGGCTCTCTGAAAATAATTATGTCTTCTCTTCGAGCAAATCCCCTTCATCATCAACAGAAACACGTTCGATTAGTTTGCATGCTGTTTGTCTTGGCTTGTGAAACTAATGTTCTACCCGACAACAACTCAGCAGCACGAGACTCCTTGAACTGTGTCTCAGCGTCGGCGCACTACTGGGCAAACTTGAGGGGCTACGCGGACGAAAAGGCACTCAAGCTTTCAAATGAACTGAAACACAGCGCGGATCAACTTAAATACGGTATTTATTTTTCTCCAATTAACGATAGTGTGGATTGTGAGGTGTGCCCACCGACAAACCGACATGAAACTTAAACTTAACTCTTGATCGAGAATCCATTACGGCGGATTCAAATGTGCAGCGATCCCATCTGTCAAAACCATAGAAATTTGTTATCTAGATAAAAATAATTTTCCCGGAATAGATTAGACTAAAGAGCCTAAATTTATAAAGAGGTGGCATGTCAAAATTGGAACAATCGATTGTCTGTCAAAGTCATACACGGATAGAAATCTCCTTATACCTTTTGGCAAATTTCTATTGCTGATTATTCATAAAATGTATAAGTCAACTAATAAGCAGACGCCTTGCAAAAAGTTAATGAAGCTCATGTGTCAAATGAAATGTATAAGCGGTCACACATACCTTTTATGCATTCTTGTAGGACCTGTGGTTTGTCTTATGGAATATATAAGGCTGATGCTTTGGCAAAAATGTATAAGTGAAACACATGAATAAAATAATTGATTTTCGTTTCGTGTAGGAAAAGTCATTCCAATCGAGCAGAAGACCTGTAAAATGGATAAGATGTCGTCTCTTTATAAATTCAGGCTCTTTAGATTAGACACGAACCAACTCATACATTTTGTATGCGTGTTCGTGGCTACACACCAAATTTAAATCGCTGAAAATCAGCAAAATTTTGCTGATTTTAGACTTGATGAAAGATTAGCAAACGTTTCAGCAAAATAATGCTGGTGAATTTTTCAGCAATAAGGCTGTCCACGAGACAGTTGCGATCAGCTGACTTTTTTGTTTACCAAGAACTTTTGACGGATCACAGTAGAACTGACAGTTCACTCTCATATGAATTTCTGCTCTGTTTATGTTTACATTCAGCACCATTAACACCAGATCACTCACACACTCTTGATTTCTAGCTGTCAGTTCCACTGAGAAACACTCCACTCCACTCTTGGATCACCTTATCCCAGCCGAGGTCGGTGGGATTTTCTGAGGCATAGAAATCTCTGGTCACGTCTTCCTTCGGAAGGGAAGTAAAGCCGTTGGTCCCGGCCTATGTGTGTTTGAATGAGTGCGATATCCTACGCAGGTGTGGAAGCTGCCTTCCTGCACATTCGATTATCGTCAATGGATGGCAATCGATGTCCGTCGATGATTGGCACTAGATTGTGGAACAGAGACCGATGTTAAATAAAGGAAATAAGAAGAAGATTGTGAGGTGTTGTGATCGATTTTCTGGCACATACCCTTGACGATGATGGTGACTACGACGACTGCAGTCCAGCGAGCGTTCGCTGCGGTTCCAGAATGATTCTCTCGATGGCGGATGATGAAAGACCGATCTTGTCGGCAAGATGGCGGTACCACCGCTCGGTGAAATT